GGAGGTATCATGCCCCACAAACTGGACTTAAGGTGAGAATTTGCATTAATATCTTGGATACAATCCCAAGGGAAGAGCAGGGGGACCAGCAGGCTGAATGGGACACTGCTGGGGCAGACAGACCAACTAGGCATGGGTAAAGAGGCCTAGGCCCCAGTGTTGTCTGAAGACAACACTGGCAGCATGGGGAGAGCTCTCTCTTCAGACACACACATCCCAAGGGCAGGTCTTCAAAAACAGGGTTAAACCCAAGAGCCCCATTTCTGCCTCRCAGTAAATGTGTGGATGGTGTGTAGATGAGACCAGGGTACGGCCCAGCACTCTGCTCCCTTCTGGTTCTCACCCACTTCTCTCCCCTCTTTCCTTTCATTTATATAACAAGATGCTCCTGCAGATGCCRTAAATCCGTGGCTTTTCCCTGAGGACACGCATGTCTATTTTGGTGTAGGCCACTTCTTTGGGGACTGTCGAAGCCCAGAGCAGCTTCTCCTCCTTCGTTCTGCTCTACTTGGCAGAAGCGACGACTCTGCGGGCCGGGCACCACGGAGGTCCCAATGCAGGTGCAGCGGTTCCTGTGCCAGGTTGCCCATATGAACAGGCTCCATGGTTAGAGGTTTTCCAAACCATCCATCAGGAAAGTGTTACCTGGAGTTCTGTGTGCAGTTCTGGGCTCCCCTGTACAAGAGGCATGTGGAGCTTCTAGAGAGGCAACCAAGATGATTAAGGGATTGGAGCATCTTTCGTGTGAGGAAAGACTAAGTGAGCTGGGCCTCTTTAGCCTGGAGAAGAGAAGGTTGAGAGGGGATCTGMTYAATATGTATAAATACCTGAAGGTTGAATGTAGGGAGGAAGGGGCCAAACTCTTCTCAGCTGTGGCCAGCGACAGAACAAGGGGTAATGGGTATAAACTGAAACCCAGGCAGTTCCATCTGCATATGAGGAAGAATTTCTTCACTGTGAGGGTGACAGAGCCCTGGAGCAGGCTGCTCAGGGAGGTTGTGGAATCTACCTCTCTGGAGATCTTCCAAACCCACCTGGATGCCACCCTGTGCCCTGTGCTCTGGGTGTCCCTGCTGGAGCAGGAGGTTGGACTAGATGATCTCTAGAGGTCTCTTCCAACCTCAGCCATTCTGTGATTCTGTGAAAGGGGTTTGCTCAGGTGATCCTAAGCCAAGGATGCTCCTAGCTCTCTGTGCTTTTCTGCTTGGCCTCCTCCACCAGCTCTGTCCATGTCCAGAAGTGCCTGCTCTGGCCAACTGTAGAGGGCCAGATATTTCAAATATATCTTGGAATCTGCATCTTGTGAGTGACTTTAGGTCATTAGAAAAAGACAAATGGCTTAAAAGGCAAAGGACACTYGCTAGTGCAGTTGTGGTCTCTATGGACAGAGCAGTTGTCAAAAAAACAAAAACAAACAAACAAAAAACCCAAGAACAGTTTAGACCCACATCCTGCAAAAAAATCCCATTGGAACGAAGCCCAGCACACACATTTGTCCCAATCTGCCACATTCCTTTATTTTTTTTTAGCAAACATGGGCTTAAGTATGAACCTAGTGAGACTACACCCTGTGTTTCAGCAGATGTTGCTCCTAATTCCCGTATGTCTGCAGTGAGTGCTGGGGACTCCCGGTGAGGAAGTTGGGGAGTCTCTGGATACCCCCGGCAGTGTGAGCCATGCACCCTGCCAGCCACTGCCTCCTTGCAGGAGCCTCCAGAAGGCTCCTCTCCTGATCCCACCAGGGCCGTGCTTCACATTTCCTCTTCTTCCCAGCCTTCTTCATCATTTTGTTTTCCGCTCTGAGCCTTTCTCTCCAGTTTTTCTGTTGAACGTGCTGTTTTTGCTAAACCGCCTGAAATCAGCATCCTTGCTCTGTCCCCGATACAGCTTCACTTTGATGTCTCTGCACCGGCCGTCACTGCCTCTGTCGTCCTGAATCCCACGGCAACTTGGATGCAACCCTCACGGCTCCCACTGGTGCCTCTGGACACTAAGCGCTGGCATTGGGGCAGGACGGGGAGTTGGGTACCGGGGTCAGATCCTGCTCCTCCCCATCCCAGGAAGCCTTAGCAGGTCTCATCAGCTCCAAAATGTGCCCAGCACATATGTCCTGACTCTCCCTTGCCTGGCAGCAGCTCTGGATACAGGCGCAATAAATGAGGAGGATGGGAAGGAGAGGGGAGCCGAGGTGCATCCAGATAGGAAGGGAGCAGTTTACACACATCCCCTGCGCAGCAATGAATGGAGACACGAGATAGAGCCGGCGAATCCCAAAATCTCCTGGGATTAAATGATTACGTTAATCTTTGCTTTCTCTGAGCTTTGGGAGCAGCAATAGCCTCGCGCTGATCCTAGGGCAGATTCTTCCCGTCTCGCTTCCCAGCGAGCTGCAAGGAGGCTGCACAAAGCCAAAAAGCCTGGATGTACCCAAAGCTCGGCCCGTGCCCTCCTTCCCTTCTCCATCCCAACCCATCCCTGGATTTTGGCCAGGATACACGCAGGAAGGCGCTGCCGAGCCACGATGACAGCATGGGGATGGCAGGCAGTCTCCCAGCCACTGCAGGTGCTGGCAAACATTGCTCTTTATTATTTTAACCTCCCTGGATTCTCTCTTTTTTGACTGATCCCGTCACTTATTCCAAGCGTCCTCCCCTGTCCCATGCCTTGGGATGCAGAGGTCGCTGATGAAGGCAGCTGCACTGGGGTGAACGCATTAAACCAAAGTCACGACCAGAGGAGCCACCAGGGAGGGCCAAATGACCATGGGAGAAGTGATAATCGTGGCTCCGGAGCACACCAGGGCAGATTATGAACCAGTTTGGCGAGACGCGGGCCCCAGGTGAGCTGGCAAAGCTACCTGCCAAACCAGTTTGTAATCCGGGATAACGCTCATTCCAGAGGGTCTCGCAGGGCCCCAAGGAGCCACAGCGGCCGCGTCCTCCCCTGGGCTGGATCCTTCCAACCGCAGTCCTTGCAAGCGCTCTCAGTGCAGGGTTTGCTCTCCAGGCTAGTKTGCAGTTATCCACCTTGCTCGGATCCCATAGGAGACCTCCAGGTCCTGCAGAAGACCTCCAGGTCCTGTGACCTCCAGTCGCAAAAGTCCCATCTTAAGCCAGGTATTTAAGAGGTTCCCGGAGTGCCCAATGACCAAACTGTTTCCCTCGGGCCCAGGGCTGAGATGAGTGGGAAAAGGGGCTTTAGCCCATTGAGGGTCCACAGGTCTGACTGCTGAACTCACCCACGTAGCCTCAAACCACTGTTTGTCAACATGTATTTGCAATTACAGGGCAAAATTAGCATCTTTGTTTCTAATTAGCTACTTTGCTCATCCTGATTCTGAACCTTTGAGCATCTGCACAAAGGAAACCCAAGAAACAAAGCTTCTCTTCCACATTTCCAAATTCTCCAAATATTACCTATTTTTGACCCCCATTTGCAGCCATGCAGAGCAGCATAGCACAGGTGGTGGCGGGGGAGCCAATGACTTTATTTCCTTATTTTTTTTTTTAAGCCCAGGATCAATGTTTACACAACCAAGCTAAATTATTTATACACATAATGTTATAGGTTTCACATCAGTGCCTTTTATTAGCATGCGGCGGATGAGAAATCATACCTGACCTACTTGTAGGAACGAATCCGGAGTCTCTCCACGCCGGCTGATGCCGTGGCACGGGAGGAATCACATCCTGGCATAGAATCCTACAGAATCACAGAATCACATAGGATCATTATGGCTGGGAAAGGCAGGACCCGCTCCGTGCACCCACGCGGCTCTCCCCAAAGACCCCGTTCCCACCATGTCACGGGCGCTGCGGGTGGCTGTCTGCTCATCTTGCAATTAATGCATTTTTTATAAAGCGCAGGCTCCGCTTTCCTTTCATTCTACCAGGGTATCCTTTTGCTGTTACGCTCCAGAAACACTATATATTTTTTTCACCTAAACTTTTCCAGCACGCGTGGCTCGTCCAATACGTGAACGAGCAGCTCTGCAAGACACTCGATCTGCAACACAGGCTAGATTTAGTGCCAYGATGTGTCCTCCAGACTGCCACTCCACCCCACGTGACAAATAATAGCATGTTAACCTCCCCCATGGTGCAAAAAGCCAAGCAAAATAAAGGCAAGCTGGGCTTTATTTTGTGCAGAGCGGGCCCGTGAGAATGACTTGTTAGAGGATGGATTTGTTGCCTCCACCCACATGCTCGATAGGCATCCGAAGGATCAGTTGCACTCAGACCTGAAGCCAATTTTAAATCACGCGGAGAGGGACCCAGGCAAATTCAGTCACTTTTTACACATTTTTTAGCTTTTTACTCATTTTTTAGCTATTCTACAATTAAGAGCAATACTGCAGACACGGGACATGTGTCTGGCTGTGGTGCACGAGCAAACACAACCATTGCTGCTGGGGTTTACTAGCAATATCTCCTTAGTGCTCTCAACACAAAACAGAAAAAAAAAACCAACAAAAAAAAGGAGTGTCGAGTCACTCCTTCTCCTCACCAGCTCCTTGTAACCGATTGAGGATTACCAAGGAACATGTTTTTGCAGGAAATATTTTCTAAGGCTAAACAACTTCGGATGAGGGTGTGATAATAAATTGCCAAGCGTGTATTTTTTGCAGCTCGTCCAAACCGTGAGTATCGGTTTGTCCTTCCTGTGTGTTGTTTCCATAGAAGCGGAGCTTAACCTTTTAAGTGAAGATTATAAAGGCACCTAATTCAATTAAAATTCGACTTCAAGCATATCGGCACTTAATGCTCAAGAGTTATTATGAGATTTGATATAACCATTGGYCTGATTGGCAGGCAGAAGAGTTTCTGTCGGGGACAGAAAAAACACATTCTGGCAGTAACTTTTCATTTTTTTTCCAGACATTTCTTTACACAAGCCTTTAAGTGGCAGGTAATTCCTTTGAAATATGGGAATGGAGTACAAAAATCGGGAAAACACACATTCAATTAAAGTTATTTATTGTAGGTTTTCTTTTCTGAACTGACAAAGAGGGTTTCCCAGAGATTGATAGCACAGCACAACGTTATACACCATGTCACAACTAGTCCCTTGTCGCTTCATTAAGAACATAGTAATTTAAAAATATCTAAATATTTACATATTAATAAAACATATATACAGAAGATTGAGACATTTTTACCTAAATATGGAATGATTTTTTTTTTTTTTTTGCTTTTTGCTTTTTGCTTTTTCCGCTAACAAACCCTATATAAAAAGATTTCCGAAGGAAGTCTCGACAGTAGTCACAGTAAGTAAACACGAATGCAGATCTGGAGAATGTACAAAACGGCGACTCCGGCGCTCGGAGGGGAGGCTCCTCAAGGCCCGCAGTGCACGGACAGTGAATTCCCGTTTTCCGATGGAACGTGGCCGCCCTCCGCAGGCCCGAGGCCCTCACGGATGAGGGCACCTAGGCCGAGTTTCCTCGGTTTATTTGTGGGCATTCGGCAGCTCCCRAGAAACCGGCTTAAGGGTGGTTAAGAAAGAAATCTTTAAATTTATTACCTAATCTTTAAATATATTATTTTTTAGGGGGAGGAGAACTCACTTTGTAATAGCACTTCAGCTGACWGGATTAAAGGCCCAGTAGTCTCAAGGGAAAGAAGGCCCCGGGCCTGACCTGCGCAGAGGAAAAGGCGGCTACGGCGACCTCCCCAGGGCAGGAACCGCACTCGAGCCGCCTGGTGCTCAATGCACGTCGCAGGTTAAGACCTTCTGGATCTTTTCTTCTTTTCCCTACGTTTTTAAAGTGAATTTAGTGCYGTCGCAAGGTGCAGAAGGGATAGTTTGCTCGAGGGCTGCGGCAGTTTTGCCTTGGCCCTGACCTCGGAGGACGGAGCCTCTTGCTGCCCAAGAGAGGGATTTCTTGATCTGACCCCTCATCTTAATGGCCGAGACATCAGCTGAGTGCCCATCAAAAGGCAACTTAATTTTTTATAATTAGTGAATATCGTCCCCGAGGGCAGTGGCTGATGAATCCCGTCAGGCGAGACCCTCTTCCTGGAAGTCGGCAAACTGATCCACTTAATATTCAGGTGGCGGGAAAAGGCGGGAATAAAATAAAATACAATATAAATAAATAAAAGTGAGGAGAAACCCCATCTCCTGGTGCCACCTGCACCAACATCCACCTCCCGTGCACAGGGATTTGGCACCGCGCCGCTGCCATAGCGCTGAACCCAGCGGGGACCGCTGAATTTCGGCTACGAGCGGCTGTCTGTGCCACCCTCCTTCGCACAAAGAGGCGGAGAACACGGTGGGAATGCCATGACACGGGAAAAGCAGGGTTGGGAGAAGGAAAAGCGAGGCGGGAGAGCGTCTCGCCTAGCGTGGATCCCGCACTCATCGATGTATGAGATGGAGGAAAATCCTCTTTAATTAACATGAAAAGGAGCAGAGGGATCCAGTGGTTTTGTTATCTCGGCTGCCAGGGGAAGCGGGTGAGGTGCCCCGAGATGGAGGGAGCGGCCGAAATCCGCACCCTGGGCTCGCGGCTCTCCGCTAAAACCAGCGACGCGGCGGAAAGCTCAAGCGCAGAAATCTGGGTTTGCGTCTAGCAGGCTGTCCGTCGTCGTGTCAAAAAGGCTCCCTGAAGGAAGACAAGAGTTTGGAGAAACTGGTTAAAATTGCTCATTGTTTAAATCCACTCAGTTACTTGCAAAAAGATGGAAATTATGTATTTGAGTTTCCAATTTTAATTCGTGATGGGGCTGAATTGCTGAATTTTGCTCAGACTGGAACTCAACAGCTTAAAGGAAGCCAGTTAAATAAAAAGATTGTTTTTTCTTTTAATTCCACAAATGGCGAGCAGAGGTTGCCACAGAAGTTCCCGTACACACCACTTAAGATGTAAAGTGCCGCATTAGAATATGGCACAAACTACTGCAGTGCTCCCGCTTTGAAGTTACGGTTCTGAAGAAGTTAAAAAAATAAAAAGCACCGCATGATTTTAGACCTGGAGTACACACTTTGGGATATTCTTTGGAAAAAGACTGAAAAAAAACCCCATGGTGGTCTAAATGCATATGCCAGAAAGAAAAAAAAATCCCAGGTATGCTGTATGATTATATGCTATCTTTTTAAAAATACTTTAAGAATATATTTTTTTTCTAGCAGAACAATGCGAGACAGACAGAAGAATTACAACTGTAGCGCTAAGAACACAGGGCAAATAGGAGACAGACATCAATCAGTGTAAGAAGCAAATACAACCCCATGAAAAGGGAAGACTCATACAATCATGCACTGAAAGGATAAAGATTTATATTACAATAAAGGATTTATATTTAAGGTTTCGAAGAGAGGTTTTTTTTTTAGAAGTTTCGTTTTCTTGATATTGTATTCCTAGAGAAAAGGAGACAACCTGTATAGAATTGGATCGTTGCTGTTTTCTTATCACTGGTTTCTTTACTGAGAGATTGTTCTCATCTTTTCACAAAGCTCTATCACCCCTGGCCCTGAGGATTGGGATGTTGCTTTTACTGCTCCTTTTAGGGATATCAAAATTCTTTCTTGTTCTGAGGTTAACCCTAGTGTGGAGAAACGACGTGAGCCCTTCAGCGGTTTCGGTCCAAAGCACAGGTATAAGGAGAGCTCTGTCATGGTCCTGAGCTGCCTCTACCATTCACATGTAATTTTAAAGATGAGGATTCATGAAAAGGGTTTTGCAGATGGCTTACATTTGTTTCCACATGCAGAATTTAGGGATTATGCTTATTTATTTATTTAAAACAAAATCCGGATGCCGTTGTAAATTTTAGGATAACTGGAATCTTTTCGCAATGGCAGCTTACATAAAAAGATTCAAACGGCTGGCACATCTTCATTCTGCTCAAGATTTATCTGACATCTCTTGGGTTCTCAGATCACCAAGAAACTAATCAGTCTTTCCAGTTGCTCCAGAGCAATTAGCCTGGGAACTGTCAGATCTTTCTCAGCTCAGGTCTGGACACAGACTTCAGCTCAAGCAAGAGACTGCTTTAGTATGTGCAAAGCGCCAGGGAAAACCTGAGCTCTGTTCGTGTTTGGTAGAGACAATTCTTCTACTATTTGTCTTGGGATCTAGCTGCTAAGTGTGCCAAAATTCCCAGTAAGTTTAACTGCTGCCGTTCTTCAATTTGCTTTAAACACTCTTCAATCAACAGCTTTCAAAGCAAAGGCACACTTAGCATCTAGGATGATGCTAAAATGATAGCATGATTTGTGCTCTGAAGTGCTAAAACATAATTGGGCAAAAATGTCTCCCTTCTTTTTACGAGGCTGTACAGTAACATCTTTTACAGGAGTTTCAAGTTCCCAAGGAAGGCTTTGAAAACACATCTCTGTGCTCCCCAAAGTGCAGGACAGGGAGGCAGCATTCAACCTAGCCCTAGGCAGCTAAAACGTAGCTGAATTAAGAGCAAGATGCAACTGGCATCAATGGAGAGGTATCTCCAAACACTGACACAAGCTGATCTGAACTTCTTTCTGGGGAAGAATCCCTCTTTCCCCCTTTTTCCACTGCTATGGAGATTGCTGAGAGCAACCACCCTTCCACTGAGGTGCCTTGCTTTAGGTGCCAGCCATGGGCCGTAATCTGCAAAGGCGTAGGTTGAAGAATTTTGGCATGAATATCCCACTTGTAGCCAGATCATGTTCAAAACATTGCCAAGGGCATGGGAAGGGTTTACTGAGCAGAAACAGTAGATTAAAGGCATCTGAGCTTCCTTTTTTTCCCCCACTAACACTTACCATGGATTCAATTCATTCATTCTAGGCCTTTTCGCTTCACCAGTTCGTTCAGTACTTGAGGAGCAAGGCAGTAACCATCCGATGTCTGTCACGAACGGATCCTGCATCCCACCTTTCCCCATCTCCTGCAAGACTGCCCATAAGCCATCCAATTCCCTTTGGTTTTATTCCACTAACCTACTGGGTTAACCATGGATCATTCCTGATTTATCTTGTAAGAGCTCCTGGAGATGTCATGTACAATCAAGGCCCGCTGTGCCAGGCACTGTACAAACACACAGTAAGAGACACTCATCTCCAAAGAATTTTCAAGCTAAATAGAAAAGACAGCTGAATAGACCACACGAAGGCTCCTTGAAATAACCTGTCAGAAACAGCCCCTTACAAAAGCAGCTGTACTAAGACAGGGAAAGACCTCGGCAAAAGTTCCATTCCACCTTTTTTGCTAGACTCCCTGATAGAAAGCATCTGTATTTTGGCTCTCTGTCATAATTACTGTCATTATACTGTCTGTATATCACTTTAAATGGTTTGCTTCCAAGAACAGGATGGCATTACATTGATACATTCTATAAAGAGGCACTTGCACATATATAATAACGGGTGTGAGCCACACGCTTGGCTTACAGCCCGCGAGCATCACCTCCCCCGCCAGTGCAAAGGCAGCGCAGGGCTGATTTGGGCTTCTTTCCACACGCAGCACGGGGAAGCATGCATTGCAGAAGAGGAATTTCAGCTGGAGGCTCGTGCAGATGCACAGGGGCTCAAAAGGCGTGAGAGCTGCTGTGGCAGAACGGGAAGGGACTCTCTGCTTCCATCAACAAGGCGGGATGCGAGCGGCAGCTACGGAAAACAGGACAATCCGCCAGTCCTGCTCCCGATGCGATTACTGGAGCGGCGCAAGGGCAACACGCAACGCATTAGTGACCTTTACCGGGTTCCCTCTCAACACAATTCCTTCCCTTGGGATAAAGGAGACAAACGGGATGTTGCTTGGATGAGGCCTTTCAAAGCCGAGCTTCCCGCCCTGGACCAGGAAAGCAGCCCCGGTGGCAAAACTGGAGCCGCTGTCCCCAGTCCCCCAGGCCTTGTCCCCAGCCCCGTGCAGCAGCACCCGTGTGTGAGGGATCCTTCACTGGGAACATGGGAAGTGACTGGGTGCAGAGGGCTCGAGATGCTGCTGCCGCCTCCGGTGCCGGGCGCCCAGCAAACAGCAGCGTCCTGTTCTCCTCAGAAGGCCACGATCCTACTTTGCTGCTCCTGCTTTTAAACCTTGGGGACGTTAAGCTGCATCTTGGGGACGTTAAGCTGCATCTTGGGGAAATGACAGGTGACTGTCTACATGGATTGTGACCCCACTGCATTTTCAGGGAATGGGAGCTCAGTTCCAACCCAGCAGGGCACCTCTTGATGAAGTGGTTCTTAGCAAGTGGGTGCTCCAAAGCCTGGCCTCAGCTTAGCTTAGGTGCAGCACCGCATACCACAGCGTGTGGAAATCTCCTTCCTAACCCACAACACCACACACCTGCTTACCAACTGCCAGGCTTTGCGTCAGGGTAGATGCGCTTCAAGAGAAATTAAAACAACACTTAACTACCACGTAAACTTACAATCTTCCTGCAAATCCAAGACATGACTGCTAATATCTTGGATATGAGCAGTATTCCATTCTTCCATCCTCCACTCTTCCGCTGAGACAACAGAAATGATGCTGAAACACAACTTACTGTGTCTGTCCCTGACAACAACAGGGTTAAGAATTCTGAAAATTCCCAGAAATACCGGGGATGAGCCCAAATTAACATGCAGATAAAAAGGGTCGCTTAGCTTAGCTGCTACTGAGAAACTTGAGGTTTTATGAATAGAAGGTGAAACTGCAAAATTCTTTTTTTTTTTTTTTTTTTTTTAAATATAGGGCATTTGAAACTGAAGATAGCTGGGTCCTGTGTGCAATTACCTGACTGCATATGGCATGCCAGGATTATTGAAAAATGCTTCTGTGCAATAAATAAACAAACACACACTGGAAGCTGATAACAATTTTAATGCGTTTTACCTGTTTGTAGTAGAGAAATGTCCGGCTTCTCATCACAGTCAGTTGCCTCTGCTGATTACAAATATAAACAAGAAATCTCATTACTTTTACTGAATACAGGACTGAGATTAAAAAGCTACATACTGTAGAGTGATTTTGCATTTTCTATCTGCTTTTCTCAGCTGCAATATGTTGGTGCTCAGTTAAAAAGTCACTGCTTGGAGGAAAAGGTCATACAATAAAAATGCAAACTTGGAAAAGGGAGTTTTGTGTTAATAAGCAGTTATGCCAGTAATGGGTTGGAATAATATCTGCTCCCTTTAAGGTTTCAGCCATCTGGCTGATAAAAGGAGTTGGGATCATTTTATAAGATTAGACAGGAAAGGTGCCATTTGTTAAGCCAGCCCTGGTGGTCCATGGCCCCAAAGGCTGCTATTCCACCCTCCAACATCTGCAGCATCACGCGCCAAGGTGGGATCTGTGGATACTCCCATTCCAGACTCCTGCACCCAAACTTCCTGCACCCACGGGGCAGCTCCTTCTGCAAGGGACAGATGTGCAAAGGCAGGATGCGTTTGCAGATGCYGGTGGGCACCCAGCACAACTACAACAGCATGGAAGCATCCAGCTAGATAGGCAATTACGGTGTGTACCCAACACGTGCTTCCAACCCACGGCTTATGCAAGCTCATTTGACTTAACTTAGCCCACGGTGAAGGAAAGCTAAAAGCCTAATTTGTTCATCTCATATTTGCCACAGGCCAAGGGCATGCATAAAGATGGTTGATTTGGCTCAGCTGATGTGCAGGAACTTGTCAAGACTCTACTACCTTGAAGGGTGCATTTGAACCCTAACTTAGAGACATCTAAAAGAAATTAGGTGCCTAACCCACAAGCCCTGAACAAAATCCTATTATGCGTGTGCTTTGGCACCCGAGCATGGTATTTAAGACCTTCAAAACACAATGAGATCTTCAAGAGTACTTAAGCAAATTAGGTGTGGTCATAAAGGAACAGGCAGGCACGTCCATTATATTGTACACGGTTAATGTGGTGGATATACACCTCCTCACAAACACACATCCACCTGTTGCACAACACCCCGCCAGACACCAGATCTRACCAAGGCTGTAGATAAACTGAGCCCTTCAGCTCAGCTCACAGCTGGTCACACACACCTCACTGCCCTGAGCATCGTCCACCGAGCCCCACACACAAGGATGTTGAGCTGTTGCCTCTAGGAGGGRATCAAAACAACTAACCCAACTGCTGCTCTACATCAGCTTCCTGCTTCCAACTACTCTTGGCTATTTGTCCTTAGACCAAGAGGTTGTTCTCTCTCTCACTTGTATTTATGTCAGTCTAGTTTTCAGCTGTATGCCATGTATTCAGCTCTGCGAAATGACTTGGATTTATAAAACATAAAATGAATCAATCGATCAAACAAAGCCCAAGCAGCAGCCCCCAGCACAAAGCAGCTCTCCTTCCACAGCAGGTTTGAATGAGGAGCACTGACAAGCACATGCCATGGAAGTGCAAGTCAGCCTGAAACAGCCCTTGAACCAACTTCTATTTCCTATTAAGAATTTGTTTCTGAGCAGAAACAAATTAGCTGCTTGATACAGCTTTTTATAACAATCTTTCTTGAAAGGACTGGATGGCTCAATAAATGGGGCAAAAGTTACCCGATTCCCTACTTCTAGATAAGGTTTCAGCCTGGACCAGACTAATGATGATGGGAAGACTGGGTGAGCAAGGGAGGGGAGAGCATGGTGGTAAGAGCAGCTATGAAGCATCCAACAGGATATACAGCATTTAAAACATCTGGAGTGACAGTGTGACACCAACTTCTAGCTACAAGACTTATTGCACCAGGAGATGTGGTGGCCAAGAAAGGAAGCTACAGGCTGAGACTACAAACATAGTTACAGACAAGACTGAGATGCTGCTCAAAGACGACGTCCCGCTCCCCACTGCTTGTTCCAGTCCCACTCCTCACGGCAGCACAAACATTCACATGGTCACAGGGATTGGATATGGCTTAAAGTTGACAGTGTGGCCACGTTAATGCTTGTACCACTGCCAGAAAGGGGGTGGGAAAAAAGAAGACGYACAGAGAGTCAACTCACTCTTCCCAGCAGCTGCCTGAGTTTGTCCCATGTAAGCGATGAGCAATCCCAGCTCCAGGGCAAGTTYGACCAGCAAAGCTCCTGCTCACAAACGCATGATAAACACCTTGACCTCCTAACATGGATGTAAATCAGCATCTTTTCATATTCTGTTCCAAACAGGAAAGAGAGTTTGCCTTCAACAACCGCACCCACGGAACGCCAGCCAAGCTCTACTCGTCTTAAGCCAACTTGCAAGACGAGGCAAGCAGGAATAGATCCCACTGTGAGAATTACTTGCTCTTCTCTTTCCTCTACTTAGACAAAGCTCAATAGTTCTTGCAAAACAATCCTGGTAGTCTTTTCCTTAGAGGCTTCCCCCTCTCCCACACCTGCCTGCAAAATTGGTTACCTTCTTAAATATATATGTTCATCTGCTGTTTTTCTGATGGATAGAAGGATGTGTACAGTCAGGACTGGAAATGGTAGCCCAGCAGTTACTCATTTTAAAATTCTTAATCTAAGTAAGATACCAGCCACAAAAGCACTATACCACACCACATAATCCTACATCACTGCATCCTCCATCCTCTCTGGCCTTGTGACTGTTGCTAAACAAAAAACAACCCCATCTAGAATCTGCCGCCTCACAAGACATAAATAATATATCAAAAGCACAACCAGGGCAATAAGGAAATGAGGAGAATTAGAAGGGGTAAAAGAAAACCATACAGGACAACAAAAGCAGAAGTTTGGACAAAGAAGTGGGAGAAAAGGCGAGTCCCGGAAAGAATGTGGGCATTTTCTCTTCCTTTGTTCCCACTATTTTACATTGCAACAAGGTAACATTGATTTTAAGGAGCAGTTTTAGGCTGTAACATCATGGCATGTAATTTGTTTAAATTAATCCAGCCTGAAAAGTTTCAGCTTGTTTTCTAACATAGCTGTATTCTCCTTTATTGAGTATGGCCATCAAAAGCTTCCAGGTTATGTACAATATAATTGCTTTGCATGAACAGCTCTTACCTTCTGTACTTGAGCAGTATTAGTCAGACTCTATCACCTTTCCTGCCTGAACACCGGGCAGCGGTTACGGAATAATGGCTTTTACACTCTTCAGAACATAAAAAGGGAGGAAGAACTTCCTGCAAGAGATGCAGCCCCTGACCTGTTGCTTATTAATGGATCAAGAGTTGAGTAATCAAAAGGCTTGGATATGATGTCTAACAAAAAAGCACCGTGAAGAGCAAGTTGGTTCCTTCTGATTTTACCCATCCTAGAGCTCTATGCTAATGGTTGCCGTCTCCTTCTGTGCCGTGGTGGCAAGGCCACCAGTCACCTCCTCGTCCTCTCTTTTGCAGGACGGCGGGGTGGGAAGCCCTGCTGCTCAGAGCAGTAAATCACAGTGCTGTTTGCATTGTAATTTAAGAGAGGAAACCTATTCACATGCTTTTCCCTTTGGCTTCTTTGGTTTTCTTTGGAACACAGCAAGTTCCATCTCCAGGTGAGGAGGAACTTCTTCACTGTGAGGGTGACASAGCCCTGGCACAGGCTGCCCAAGGAGGTTGTGGAGTCTCCTTCTCTGGAGGTCTCTCAAACCCGCCTGGATGCCGCCCTGTGCCACATGCTCTGGGTGKCCCTGCTGGAGCAGGAAGGTTGGACTAGATGATCTCCAGAGATCCCTTCCAACCTTAACCATTCTGTGATTCTTCCTATCCAGGGCCGCTCTGCATCCCATTTGGGCAGCCAAGAGGGCTTCAACTCCTCTGCTGGGACGGGACAGGTCTGGCACCAGAAAGCTAAGGCTGAAAAATATTATTGTGCTATTTAATTTTAATTATAACATCTGCTTGTAACATTAACCTTGCAGTTTCTTTTCCCCTTGGTGACAGCCAACTTGTGAAATTTTGAAAAGACTGAACAAGGCCAATAAAAATTTAATGGTAGTGACAGCTTTATTCTCAGATCTAACAAATAAAAAAAACCCACCCAGCTCTCAGATCTCAGGCAATAATCTGAAAGAACTAAGAAAAAGCCAAAGCAAAATAAATAAATTAAGAAAGAGTACTTCCAGTTATGAAAAATATTGTCACTGATTCAAAACTTAAATGAATTTCTATCTGGCTCAGGATAACAACCCTTCAAAATCTACACAAGGTAAGTATTTTCTAGAAAGCAGAATTTTTAGGTTTTTTTTTTTTTTTTTTTTTTTGGATTAGCTTTCCAAGTTAGGAGCTTTGCTGTCCCCAACGCCAGGAGACAAGCCAATCGTGATAAATAAGGTGAAGCTGGAGAGCATCTACAATCCGGTGATCATGATTTTATTCAATTGGAAATACTCAGAAGAGCAAGCTTTATAGAAAGAGGTTGAAAAACAGATCCACTCCACTCATTTGTGAGAATTATCTGAAATTATTAGTAACACTGAAAGCTGGAGCAGGATTTATGTTTTCAGGCTGAAATAACGTTTTGCAGGATAAAGCACAGAGGGCTGGTCATGAATGCAGCGTCTTCCAGCCTAGTTTGAAACAAAGAGCTAATGGGAGGACGGCTGAGGAAGGCAAGCAGGCTGGAAAGTCTTTCTCTTGTCTCATAAATACTCCTGCTGTTAAAACTTGGCCCTGCTCAGTGGGGACTAAAATGGTGTTTTGTGGCTTCTGTGAAACGCTACTGAATAGCCTGCACTGGATCATCTTAAGCTCTTTCCATACAAAGCCTGTGCATCAAAATGAATTAGAAACTGATTTGGATAAATCCATGGCCAACTAGCAGGGAAGCTTATTGGCTTAAAAAGTCTCAGATCAGTTGAGTTTAATTCTGGCTCAAATTGGATCTTTGGGCACCCTTGCCTATACCCACAAACCTGGACAAAACTAAGTCAGATTTTGGAGTCAGGACATGTGCTTAGCCCCATGCAAACGGCCTCTGCTAGAAACAGAGTCTGGGTCTGCATGAACCTTAGATCTGATCAGTCCAGCTCTCCGTCCCTCATATGAGAAACTCAGGGCCACTGCACACTGGACGTAACAAATCTTGTTTCAACAAGACGTCACTGCAGCCAGCAGTGGCTCCTGCCTCTCTGCTGGTATTTACTGCTTTGCTGTCACAAAGGCCATGGACGTGAGCAGACAAACACGGCTCCTTYGCCTCAGTGCAAGGTTGAGGTGGGTCAGCTGAAGCCACCAGAGAAGGTGGTGGGAGACAAAGGGGCTGGGCTTGCTCAGCACCAAGTGCCCCAGGATCAGCTGCAGAACCTCCTAGCGATGGGTGACAAATGAAGGTGGCCATGGTGGCACTTCCAATCACTCCTGCTACATCTAAAAGGCGGCATCGGTCTGGGGCCTGGCAGAAAGAAACCAAAGACCTTTGGGAAATGGCCAATAAACCATAAAACCCCAAAGGAAGAGCCTTTATAGCAATGTAATTACCATGGACTTATTTTAGTTAATGAAACCAAGAGCCTGCTAGGTACATCCTGCTTGGTACTCATCCATGCTCTACGTTGATGGGTGTCTCTCTGCAGGCAGAGACAGATGGATTCTGAAGCCCATCTTATACGTTATATTTGGCTTCACTTATTCCCTTCATTCTCCTGTTGTTTAGAGACAATATCCCCTGCTTAGATCTGCCTTTCTGAGAAAGGAGCAGAGATGCAAGTGGCCCCATATGAAAGGCAAAATCAGAATGTCAATTGTCATTTTAATTAATATCCTGCAGAGGCATCAAGAAAAGCAAATAAGGAAGGATGAAAGAAAATAAAAAAACGGAACAAAATTAGGTCAATCCTCATGCAGACAAGGCAGGGTGCTGGCGTTCCCCACACTCCTCACCCTACCCAAGCCTGACAGCAAGGGCCACTCTTGGAGGGCCGGGAGCCTGCCGGCGCAGGGCAAGGCAGCTCCTTGTGCAACACCAGGAACCTGACACTGTCTTTAACGAGATTATCTGGTATCCCTCTCTTCTCCCTCCCCCAGTGCACATGAGAAACCCTTTCTAAGGCTGGTGCCAGTTTGCTGCTCAAGGAAGCTGCTGCTAGTCTGCATTTTTCTTCTCCACGTTGTTTCTGTCTCTGGGTGTTTCCTTTTTTTTTTTTTTCCCACCTGGTATTAATTGAAACTGTGGATAATGATTTCAGATGCTGGTGTTGGTGTGTGGTTTGGGGCCACGGCTTTGGACAGAAAATGTTGGCTCTCTGATAGGTAGGGAAATGGTTTGTCCATTTGCTGCGGTCTAGCTCATCCCTCCTCATCCAGCTGGACCACTGCGAACCTCTGGGGAGCCATCAGGCCTCGCAGTCCTTAAATCAGCGGATATTAACAGACACTTAATTGTAGTGAAGAACAGGAGGAGACAGGGGAAAAGGCAGGCAGCTAAAAACAGTAATAGTGAAGGGCCAGGCTAAAGGCTCTGGCACAGGCAATGCACAACAGTGTCAGATGCTACATGGGAGAGAGAGAGAGACAGAGAGAAATCTCAGCATGAGAAACCCTTGGAAAAATAAGTGAAAACTTTAGGAAGAGAAGTCCTGCATGTAGRAAACCTCTCACAGGAGAGCAGGGATGGAGATAAGGAGAATAGTTAAGGTCTATAAAGTAATTACTTGACCGCTCTCCCCTTCCCGAGCTTTCCCATGGGGATGCTGAGCCTGCTTGCCGCTGGACCGGGCGCTGCCAGGCCGGGGAAGCTGCGGGTGCCAGCGCCAGAGCCCTGGCTGTGGCGCTYGCGCTGCCCGACCCGAGCGCTACCGCACGTTGCTGCCACCTCGGAGGCACAAGAAGGGTTTTCTCAGCCACAGCGATGTCAATTCTTTCCTAAGRATTTGTGAGAAAACTTTTGCATCCTTCCAGACCCATATTCAGAAGAAAAGGCCATTTAAGTTATGTCTGAACCGTGAAGTGCGTGGCTTGTCAGAGCACATGGCAAAATTTAGAGTCTCCTTCCCTGGAGGTCTTCCAAACCCTGTGCCCYGTGCTCCGGGTGCCYCTGCTGGAGCACGGGGGTTGGACTAGATGATCTCTAGAGGTCCCTTTCCAACTTCAGCCATTCTGTGATTCTGGGATAACCCTGGTTCAGGACTCAAATTCCACCAAACTCTGGGAAGAAGCTCWGGGTGTTCATGGGAAGGAAAGAGGTTAGAGGCAACCACTGAGAAAAAAAAAAAGTTTGATTTAACTTTCCTGAAAAGTCAGCTCCTAAACTTGTTACTATCCTAAACGTAAGGGAACTCTACATTTAACATTTTGGTAGGAAACTGCAAAAAACGTAAGAAGTCCAATTTTCAGAGAGTGTACATACAGAGAGTGTACATACACAATTCTAATTACAGCCAACAGGAAAAACACTTCTGTGAAGAGAAAGACTCTAAAACTTCAAGTTTACATCTTGCTCCTTGTTTTTTTTTATACATACCTGAGCCTCTTTTTAATCGTCTTCTTGCCARTTTGATTTGATCCTGAAGAATCTGTACCCAGTCCCTAGGACCGGGAAGTTTATCCACATGGTTAGCAGTGCAGTATTTTTCTGTAAAGACTGAAACAAAAAAATAGCATCTTTTTTTTTCTTAGATCTGCCACCAGAACCGAGACAAGGAGGCAGAAGATGATTATAAACAAACTTTATCAAAATATAAATGGCCTAACTTAATATGGTAAGAATGAGGTCCAACTCCATGCCTTATATGTTTATCATTTAAAAGTCATCTTGGTGTATAAATACCATAGTAAAAACATAGTTACTGCTTACAGAGCTTGAACTAGAGAAAATCTCTACGCCTTCTGTCTTCCATGCACAAATTTCACACAGAAATAAAAGCAGAAAACCAGCAGTGTGCTTTGAGCTGAGTCTCCAGATGTGGTGGATATTTATAAACGACAGAYATCTACATATGATAGAAGCACATAAAGGAAGCTCCCCTCTTGTTTTTTCCATTCTCAGAATAGTTTCTAGGGCTACAAGCAAACTGAGGACAGATTCAAGAAGATTCAGATTCAACTGGGGACAGACTGCGGAAATCTACAGTTTTCATACGGTCGAACTAGATTGAACAGAGTTTTTTAAAGCTATTTTAAAAAGCCATTCTTGAGAAAAATAAGTAACATTTAGGTCCAAATTTGTATTTTGTAAACACAATACACACAGGATCAATGCTACCTTTTAAATTCATTCGCAAAAGGAAATTCTTTGCTGTCCCTGTAGCAAACCTAACAATGTTATACYGAAAATATGAAATTACAAATGGACTGAAACTGATGCAACTGATTTTCATCATGCGACCGACAGGTGTGTGAAAAGTAAACAAGAGCAGGAATAGGGGAAAAAAAAMCCCACTGCTGTTAGCATTGCTATTGTCGTGGTGGTCAGAGGTCCCYGAAGCTGGAGTCCAATTATGACAAGCAAACAAAGGAAAAAAACTGGTCCCAGCTCCAAGAATTTGTAATCTTTGAGAATAAATGTCCAACGAAAGGTGTGAGGAAGCATTCAAGAAATAGTGGCAACTTGAGTATTTTTATATACACATGTTTTTGAAACAACCATTCTATAGATATAAAGGGCCCAAAAAAGTTGTTGCACCTTCCAAATTCTTTATATTTGGCAACCTAATAATCCCTTCCTCCCCCATCTTAGTGGCAAGGACACAGAGCCAACTCTCTTGCTTTCCCACAGACATTAGTATTGCTCCATACACAGCCAGTGTCTGATTTGCTCCCACTGTTGGATCTCTGGAGGGAGAAATGATCCTTCTCTTCGGAACTTGCACCGTGCGTGCAACGGGAACCCTATCAACGTCTTACACTTCTATTTCCATATTGTAGCTACAGTCCACATTTGTGACAAGGGTGGGGTGACAATCCATGGCACGAGGCCATGTCCAGGTCACTGATGGCAAGTGTTGGGAATTACACCTACCTCTCTCTGCTGCCCACACAGGAAAACAGAGSCTGGAGGCCGTGGAGAGCAGATTCATTAACTTGCTTGCTCTTCTCTTGAATTAAAGTGTCAATTGAATTGCAGAGCTTTGACTGCCCTTTTATTTATTAAAAAAAAAGTCCCTGTATCGATTTCTGTTTGACAGTGTCATCCTCATTTAAGAGAGTTTAAGAGAAATCCTGATGTGAATCCCAAGGGAAAGGAAAGAYTTGGATTCCAAGAGTGCCCCTGCATACACCCCAAGCCGAAAGAGAGAACTTCTCCCTGGCTAATCATCCTGTGGCAGAACTGTTAAATTACTTGTAAAAACAGTCGTTAACTACAATGTTTTCAGCCAAGAGCAGCAAATTTTCCGCAAACAGCCTCTCTTTAAGCTCTCTGCTAATATTCTGTTGTAAATGTGGCCTTTTCTCTCCACTTCTGCCTCTGTGGTGGAACAGGGCTGAGCAGCACCGTGATGGAGGAACATCCTACTGAAATAATGCAGACAACATGATGTTGTTCTCACGGAGACTTCATACTGGCTCAGTCATTTCGCTGAATAAATGGGACCACAGTGTCCTACAGTCCAGCTCTTTGGATGGAAATCGGGTGCTAYTGGAGCCAGGCTGAGTAAAGACCCACAGCGCATCAACCCTTGGCACCTTATTCTGTCACAGCCTTCACAGATGGTCTCCCCTAGGAAGCTAATGGGCATCATGTACCAGCACTTGGGCAGTACTAGCAGTGCCAGCAGGATCAGTGTTCCTGTTAGCACTGTACCACTGCACTCATGGTACCATCACGATAGATACAAATGTATCTGTTGAAATTAAAAATYCCCCTCCTTTTCTTCCTCCAGGGACAGGAAAGGGGCTAAATCAAGTCTCCAGAAACTCTGCTGCTGTATGAAGACTAAGACATGACAACATACACGTGATCAGAGAACCAGACAGGTTGAAAAAGATTTCTGGAGGTTTCTGTGTCTAACCTCCTGCTCAAAGCGGGGCAACCAASTCATGCTATTCAGGGCAACAACCACCTGAGTTTCGAGTATCTCCAAGCATGGAGATCCCACAGCCTCTCTGGGTCTTCTTCCAGTGCTGGGCCAGCCTCACGTTGGAAAGATTTTCTTGATGAAATTTTGAAATTGAAATTTTCCATGTTCCAGCTTGCATCCCCTGCCACTTTTCTTATCACCAGGCACCTCTGAGAAGAGTCTGGTTCTATCAGCAGCACAGGAGCTTCCTGGGCAGGCAGGGTGCAGGCTCTCCTGGTCAAGTCCAGCAGATAGATATTTGTACATTCCCTCCACAGACCGGGCCATTGGGCTTTCCAAGTCCTTCTTCCTGGTTCCTCTGCCTCCTTTTGCTGCCAATACACCTGGAGAAGCTCTTCTCATTGCCTTGCATCTCCCAGGCGAAGCAGCCTGTGTCACAGGGCAAACTAGGTGCTCTGAGAAAGCTCTGCTTTGCAACCCAGCCTGTCTTTTGCTCACGAGGATTTTTCCTGGTACATCAGATTTCAAGCAAATAGAATCCAGCTCCAAGTCTCTGACCTAATACCAAGTCTTTACATGTTTGGACCACACAGTTTGACGGCAGACAGGCTCTTCTGGAACCCTGAAAGACTTGAGCACTAAGAAAAACCACCCAGCCCAGGATCCTTGTGCTGATTAAGAAACTCACTCCCACAAAGAAAGGGGAACCACAGGCCTTACAAACACCAATCTCATCTTCTGTCCCACTATAACCTTCCTCCTTCTCACCCCAATGCAGCCACAAACTACTAGGCTATTCACAGAGCAGACACGGTCACATGAAGAGCAAATCTCAGAATTTTGTCTGAAAAGGACCAGTTATACTGTGAATATGTTTTCAAGATTTCTTTGCACCTCTGATAACTAAAATGCATTAGTTATCAGAGTAAAAACTAAATCAGAGTAAAAGTATCAGAGTAAAAACTAAAATTTTAAATAAAGATTGATTCTAACTTTAGACTTGGACTTCTCAAACTGGGACCACCAGCTAAAACTTAAAACAAATCATGCCCAGGAGCTATTTTAAAAAGTAAATGAAAAGGAACAAATATAAGAGTGYATATTTGAATAGCCCTATCATATCTGAAATACTATCCCCCTTTCCTTATTTGATAAAACGTTTGAATCAAACATATGAAGCAGCAAAACTTACCTTTTATTGCACCCACAATATTTTGGTCTAGTCCTTTTCGGTTGTCATTGAGCCCTCTTTTCCTTTTGCCATTGGGTAAAGAGTTAGCCAAAGTCTTGTCATCAAAAAATGCACAGACCAGCTTCCTGAAGAGCAGGCTTCCTGAGCGAGTATAGTTTGATAATATAGAGTCCAGCTGAGATTTGGGCATGAAGACATCAAAGCCTTCCGCAAGTTGCACTTCTGGCTACCAAAAGAGCACAAATGTTTTAATTAAAATAGCATTCAAACATGTTATTTTACTTCAATCATGCATCTGGCGAGACTTTACAATCACTTCAATAATCAAACCCCGAATCCTTTTCCAGCTATTGAGCTGCACAGCAGCCTAATTCATTGAAATCAAAACCCATCAGTGAATAAGCACCTTAAAAGGCAAATGAAATAATCATACTCATGTCTACCCACTGTAATAGTTAAGAATCACTGACATTATTTCTAGGCGTAGAGCTAACAAAAAAGGAAGAGCAAAAATACCTTTCAATATTGGATAATAATTACAGGCTAGAGGAGCAGTGTTCATCCCTGAGCAATATTCTTACACAATGCTTGGGGATATTTATCTAACCATTTCATGGACTTGCTTCACTGCCAAATGAGGTAACTGGGCCGGTTTTGGGGCACGCYGGCATTTCCAGGCAGCGCTACCAGCACCTTCCATGTGTCTTCCCAGAAGGGTCGCATTTGCACGGGGGACACACGGGAATATACAGGACAAGGGCTGGATTMTCTCTCTGGCCAGTGCCTGCTGAGCTCCCTCCTTCTCACATCCCCCCAAATGCACCTTGAGAACACATTATATAAACTGTTTATTTTATCCCTGAATCCCTCCATGGCAAATCACAGAGATTTATGCTACTGCCTGAAAACAAGGTAGAAGGGAAGCAGAAGGAGAAAATCATCCTGTATTTCACTAGAGCATCTCAAGTACATTGTGGGCCAAAGCAAAGGCCTTTAACTAACTCCCTTTGCTGAGGTTTTTTTTGCTGCTCCTTTCTGCGCATATCAGAAATGACATGAGCAATATTTAGAGAGTTTTCTTGTACACTGTCTACAGCACATACTGCTTGTGCGAGGTGCTTGGACGAAATAATTATATATTGAGAATGAAGATGTATTATGAAAAGAGTGTAATTTTTCAGGATATTATCTGGAAGAAGGCAACAGAGAAAGAAAAGAAAGAGTGGTCATGATATAAGAAGATATGGAAAAAAAATGTTGAAAATTAGTCTGTAGTGTTATTTTAAGCAAAAAATACATCCACCAGTGAACAGCACAGGTGCAATTTTCAAAGGTGTTTACAGAACAAGAGCAATGTCARCACACATCAAATCACCTGCAGGCTCCTTCAGTGTGGATAGAAGGAAGGGCTGCCAATCTTGGAGGGATTTGGCTGTGCAACAACTTCCCCAAATCCCCCAAATTCCCAAGAATTTCCTAAACAACATCAGGAGAGCTACAGCAAGCGGACTATTTTTAAGGCATTTCCTACCTCTGGGCTTGCACATGCATCGTGCCATATATATACGGCCATATATACAGAAGAAGCTGAAGATGACAGCACTTTGAAAAGCCAGGATGAATCTTAAAACATACAGAAAAGCACCCAAGACTTTCAGCTGGGGCTGGATGAAAAGCTTTGTTTTTATTTTAAACTCTGAGATCTTCCAAAAAACTGAACCAGCAAGGAAGTCAGTTATTCTTTTTGACAATCTTCTGATGTAGGTGGGTTTTTAATATGGTCCTGCTAAAGTTTCTTGTGATGGAAAAGTTTTTCCAGTGGATATGAATGTGGCCAAGTTGATAACTTGGGAAAAATCTTATTTCATGTTACCCAGCAAACCCCATGAGGCTGTCAAGGAGAGGAAGGGACCCTATGGTGGCCCTACCTCAACATCTAGAATGACCTCAGTGATACAAGCAGCGTGGCACTGACAAGCTATTCTCATTTACATGCCTGTAAAATACACCTGAAACCTCATCAGCAAAGAGGAGCTAACCTTATCATAGTTACACCTTCTTTATTTTTAATAACTTAAACAATTTGTGTATCAGGGAAATAATTTGAAGGCAAAACACTGATTTCTTCTTGCTTTCCTTTAGTGGCAAATTATTCTTCAATCAAGGACAATCAGTACCTAATTGAGCTTTATGATCACTTTGAATGTGATTTATCCAAAGGAAAGGCATTTGTTAGGAGATAATAATCACGGTATAAAGAATTAGAAAACTATTCGTGTAAGGTGATACAAATAAGGCCTGACTGCCAAAAGCTTTTGCTATGCAGGCAGCAAATGAGATTTAACCCCAGACATTTCAGTATGTTGTACTGATTACAAATGTGAAGCCTTTACCACAAAAAAATATGCTATTACAGTAAAACAAATACAAGAAAGTTTACCTAAAAGCTCACTGCATTTAAAAAAGAGGTTATTTGATTCGTGGGTCAGATTAAGAATTGGGCCCACAGATCCAAATCAAGGCCTTTTTCATCTCCATAAATCGCTTTTTTACAACTCAGCAAGTCCAAAGTAATTCCACTAGTTTCAGTGAATTGGCCTTGCTTTTATATAAGTGAAACAGAGATCGACTTGAAGTGGAATAAAAGTGAAGAAAATAACAGTGGCAGCAGGAGGCCTGGCAGGGGAGTGACGCACAACACAACTCACACTACTGCAAAAAGAAACCAGATTCACTTCTGGTGTCGAGTAAAACACCTTTCTTGAGGCACTTGGACACACTAGGCACGAGCAACTACAGATGCTTATGAATAAACAGAAAAACAAACCACCACCATTCACTGTGAAGGAAATTACTGCACTTGGCCTGCTCAAAACACTTACGGTTGTATTTTGTTTTCACTGTTAGATTTATCTGTTTTCTGAATCAATTTGTTTATCTTTTTTKGGCTAATTGTAAATATGTTCAACCAACTATTGTGGTAAATAAGCCAAAGCACGAAGGGCAGGTAAGTACCTGATTTAGGAGCCATGGGGTTTCTTTTTTTGAGGGGTGTTGCTTTTATTGTAAATGCAAATTGGCACGTCCAAAAATTATGCCCCGTGATGGAACACATCCACAAAACCAAATTAAATTGCAAGCATAAAACTGTCCTCAAAACTACATCTCAAGCTGAAGATAATGACACAAACAAGGAAAACAGTATAAATTACATTTTGGAGACCAATTATGAAGGCCACCCCAAACCATTCCCTCAAACACTCTTAACCATAACAGTGCAAGAGGAGAAGCTCAGAAAACCCCATAACTTTGTACCACTGCACAGACACTAAGGTACAACACTGCAATCTCATTAGTGGTGTGGCTTGCATCTACATAACTGAATTACCACGACTGCTCTTTCTTATTATTAGTTCCCACTTSCAGAAAGGTACGACATTATCTGCAGCGTTGTTTTCATTTACACTCATTGATACAAAATTTAATTATGTGGGTTTTATTTTTTTCWTAATCTCATAGTACTTAGGAAAGAACCCCCCCTGCCTTATTAAATTAAAAATGTATTAGAGAAATTAATGATCAGTTTACTCATCAGTGAATTCTTCAGAAGACACTCTTTTGTCATTAAATAAAGCCAATCAGCAACTAGTTAGGTGAAATTTCTACCGGCATATACATTTCTGTGAATGAAAATAAATTCTTACTGAGTTTTTACAAGTGGCAAGTACGTTTTAAGGGCAGGAAATTTTAGTCACACTGATGTCATCGACAGCATCCAGGTCCTTATGTGGCAACTGCAGCGGTGACTGAGAAGGGCCCAATTGGACTTTGCTACAGGGTTTGTGGATGTGAGGAGTCCCACGAAGCCCGTAGGACGAGTTAGGCATAAAATGAAGCACATAAATGCAGCTTGGCAGCATCACGGTGTATGTGTGGCCTATGTGTGTTAATCAGCAAAGGACAGGGTTGTGGCTCGTTTATACACACAGCACTTGCCACAGCTCCCATCTCACGGTGGCTTTTGGCAACAAGACAAATGCAGGGCTACAAGTTTCCACTGCAAGCTCAAGCAACGGGGAGCCCTGAACTCAAGACAACTACAAGCTCCAGAAAGTGGAAAAAAACAACTTTGTAATCAGCTCTCCCCAGGTCTCTCTCTCCTACCTCCGTCCAAATCTACTGAACTTTTGCTGATTTATTTTAATGAGGGAACACGTTGCAAGCTGCCACAAGTGCTAATTCCCCTGAATTAATCAATGCTTTAAAAACAAGCCATGTATCAAAATATTAACTTACATCTGATGAAGCTGATTCAAGGACAATTCCAAATCCTGAAAGAGGGGTCTCCAGTTTCAGAGAGGGCTCTACTGCTTGCAGGCTTGACCGTTCAGAGTTTGCCAAAAGCTTCTTTTCACTCTCTGCAGTGCTGGGTTTCTTGTTCGTGGTAATCGGTTCAGCAGCTTTGAGGGGCAGTTTTTTCTTTTTATTTCTCTTTCTTGATATTGTCGACTTCTGTGCACAGATCAGAGGAATAGGGGGCTGCTGTCTGTTTTGAGTCCCAACTGAATGAAAGATAAGGCATGATTACATTTATAGACAAAAAGGCACACGCAGAACCCCACAGACACACCATTAAACTACTGACATGCTGAACTCATCTTTTGGATAAATGATACTGTTTTCAGTGCTGTTTGTGCATGTGAAACAGTTACATTTTATCACCTTTGCATAATTTTCCAATCTGTACAATGGGATAGTGACACTGAGCTCCACTCTGGGGTATTTTAAGGGGCAGAGTGGTACTTTTTTAGGAATATTAGGAGTACGTGGCTCTTTAGTGTAGCGACCACAAGATGAGTGATGACATGAAGGACTTAAGCAATGATTAATTTGAGTATCTTCCTGAATGCCTGAGAATCTCATTGTCTTTGAGCACTTTTTACTGATAAAACAACACAAGTGCTAATCCAATTACAGTTATTTTCTGAATGCAGTCACCAGGGTAATTAGCTCGGCAAGAACATTTTAAGTATCATTATGTCCAGAATGTGCAAAAATACTATTCAACAGTTTAATGTCCATGAAAAAAGTAACCCAAACTTGTATCAGTTTTTGTTTGCACAGTAAAACTGAGAGATCTTATTGTATATTCTTATTAATATTTTGCATTTTCAGGACCCAAAAGCATTTGTGCAAACGAAGACACCAATTCTGAACCTGCCTCAATGTTAGTAAGTCCTCAAGCAGCATCCTGTGCAAATTCAAGGATCTGTACGTGCAGATCAGCTGACAAGATCAAGGTCAAAAGAAAAAAAAATCCAAAGCACTATGTATCTTTGCTTTGCCATGTGCAATTCAAAGACATTCAAGCTATGAATGAACTATAAATGGTCCTTGTGTACAAAGCTTTGGAAAAAAACAAAACCCTGTGATGTTGTTTATCAGAAGACTTCTGGGGTATTCTTATCTGGTGTGGATTTTGAATGTTGTAATTTGGAGTTTGACATTCACACAGAAGGGTGTCTAAATATCAAAATAAGCTATTACACTTTCACTTGCATGTTTGTATTTTAGGTTCTTTTAGCAACAAAAATATTGATTTCTTTTTTTCTTTGCAAAATCTGTCTGTAGATATACTGTAGATACATAATAAATAAGAAATGTTCCTGCTATTGAGAAGCCAGCTCCTCTGACATAACCCCCAGCCCTCTATCTCTTATCGCTTATATCGCTATCTCTCATATCTCTTATCCACAAGGCGTTTTAATCATGGATGTAATTTAAATGACATAGGTGCAAGTGCGTAAAGAATTCCTTGTCCAGGCAAGGATTGTTAAACGAGGCCTTCACGTACTTTGCCGTGAACCAGTGACTTTCAGAAAAGCTTTTATTACTTGCCTTAGTTACCAAACCTGTCTAGTCTTTCCCTCGGTTCACCCAAGTGCTACACGCAGYAGATGCAACGAGTTTAGTCACCCCTCACTCCACCCTTAGGTCCTGTCATTCCTCACCACTCCCTTTTCTTCCAGAGGTCTCATCTGGGGACTCAAGGAGAAAAACCTCCATGGCCCCAGGCACCATGGACGAGGAACTCAGTCTACTGACAACAYGTGCACCTTGGACTCCCCCTTTGCATTAACACTATATGTTGTTTGAGTGAAGCAGAGTGGCTGCAGCTTCATGGCAGCCTATGAGGACCTACCTAACTGCCGGCTGCCAAGGTCTCATCATCTYGCTGGTTCTAGCGCTCTTCTGGCTCTGCACTTTCCTGTTTCAGGTCCTAACCTAGCAGAAAACTATCCCCGTTAGTTCTCCCAAACATTGAACACGTATCTGCTAGTTCAGCTGATAGAAACAGCTTAACAGGGGGACTGGGAAGCAGCCCACAAACAGGCACAGGCCACAGCATGCAGCACCTAGCTCGCTTGAGGCCACCACGGAGCTGCAACCTGAAATGTCTTTGAATGAAAAGCAGTTTACAACAACTGAAAGTGGGCCTCCAAATCAGTTTTTCCTTCTAAGATTAGTGAACTGGGTAACAAGAAGCAAAATAGGATTTTGTGCATCTGAATGGATACACCAAGGAAACAGGAACTGGAGGTGGTCATGGCATATTAACCTGCCCACACAACTCTCCATTATTAGAGTACTTAACTGCATTATAGCCTTTTATTGAATTTAGCCTTTAAAGACTCTTAYAGGATAACATCCCAGGCTGCTGTTGAGCAGCTGCGGCCTCGAGGATCAAAAATTACATTTCCAAAGGAGCCTGTGAAAATTTCATGGACATGCCAGGAAAGCAGGCAACAAGCAAGGTTCTCCTCAGCCTCCAGACAGAGTTGCAGCTTATCTGACCATCCTTCCTAGAACCAGGATGCTGCTCATGGATATGCATGTGTGGGAGGATCACTGTACCTGCTTGAATCTGCATTAATTTTCTCATGGTCTTGAGCTCTTGAAGAATAGCCTGTAGAGTTGACTGGCAATTGCACGTACAGCAGTTTGGTCCAACTGATGAATTCACCATTGGAATTTCTCCTGGAAAAAAAAAAAAAAAAAAAAAAAAAAAAAAAAGAAGAGGAATGAAACGGGGAACAAATGATGTAACCCCCACAAAAACACAAAACAAATACAAGAAATTAGATCCAAAGCTAGAAAGGAAGTAATTCTCAATGTCTTTACTTTTAAGAGGAAAAGAGGAAAATTTTTACCCCATGACCAGTACATGCAGTCATATACATGAGGTGATGCCGTGTTACATGGGCTGGGGAAGAGTGCACAGAGTGTGAATACAACCCACTGTGCACAGCGGGGCTCACTGCTGAGAGGCTACTTCATGCAGAACAACAATAGCCCCAAACCTCATTAAACCACGGTCACTTTGTAACACCCCCAAAAAGCCCATCTCCCAGAAGGACCTCGCAGAGAAGGAAGAGCTGTCTGTGCAATAAAGGTTTATACTGGACAGTAAATCAGGGGCCAAGAACTTTCACGCTGAATGCTACTCTTTACCACATGAAAAACTGAGAATGAAAATAAAATCTTCTATTTAGAATATGAGAAAAAAAAAAAAAAGAAGAAAAAAAACAGAATGGAGAGGAACCACCACAAGGAAAGCTTTCGTTTTTTTTTTTTCTTCTGTTTGCTTGTGTGGGATTGTTTTCCATGGCAAGCTCTCTAAACCTTCACCTACCAGAAGGGATTTCCATAGCTTCTTTTTGAGGATATTTCAACAGATTTTTCTTTTCTAGTAACCCATTCTAGTATTTAACTGAACTTACATACCTTTACTTCTATCCCTCCACAATGCTTTTGTCATGGCCTTGCTTTCCAGGAGTTCTACATTGAAGACCTTAAATTAGGATAGGCTGTAACAGGGCAGAGATTTTATGGTTTGCCTCAATAYCTGCATCCTATGCTTTAAAGTGAGTGGACTCTTAGCTTTAATACTACAAATAGAAATTATGAAATATGATAAAACACCTAGTGGTATCTGCTTGAAGTTGAGACCAGATGGAAAATCGCCCCTTTATTTAAAAACGTGCTTAGAATCATTTAAATTGATTGCTTTCCTCACTTCTCCAGYGTGCTTCGCCATCCCTAGAAGTCCTTTCCCAAGTGCTAGTTTTCCACCTCCTTCCACTCAGTCCTCAGACCTTGGGCACCATCTATCAGACTTGACAAAACTGGTGGTCATTCGCCCAAGAGCGAGTTACTTGTGAAACTAAACTGATGTGTCACTTAAAAAAATGCTTACATCTCCTGGTTATCAATCTTCTCCTTTTCTCCGGTATTTAGATTGCCCCGACTGCAATTACAAGTATTGTTATTTCAATAATCATCAATATATCAATAAAGTATTAATTGATAATAAAAACTCTAGTTGAAGGACCACTGTATGAGGTCTGCAAATCTAGTGAACTTGAATGTGACAGACCCACTGGTTCTCTTCTCTTCAGAAGGGACTTTTTGTTTTGTAATTACAAAGTTAGAAGAGAGGCCGAGTCTCATGTTAAAACAAAATCAAACAAAGAAGCAGGTTACTGAGTCAGTATGACTCTGTCTAGTTTCATCTCATCTTTCCTTTGTACATTGTCTGTTCAGATTGGATTTTATCTTTGCAACGGACCATTACGTGGCTAGCCCATTGTTAAAAGCATATAAAAGCATATAGGAAAAAAATACCCTGTCTTTAGCCTTGCAACAGATTAGTCAGAGTCCCTAAAACTCGGCTCCACCAATACCCTTTACTTATGCATTAGCTTAAGCTTTTGAAATAGATGAGGTTCAAGGCTCCTTCAGATTCAAGAGCAGCAGCACAGGTCTTTGCCTTTTAGAAAGGCAAGGACCAGAAACAGAATAGCTGTTTCTTACAAACACAGAAGTGCAGAAAATGTGGAGCTTTTCAACAGTAAGAGAAACACAGAGCAAGAAAACCCTAAACATCCCTTTCTCTGGGCATCTCCAGTTGCTTTCCCTCTTCTCTCTGTTGTTTCCAACTCATAAGCTGTGTAAGATGAGGCCTGTCCTCATCTCTGCTGCTCAGAATCGGGCCTTTTAGCAGCCTTCTGCAAATAATATGTGAAAGACTTCAGCAGGGATGGGGCTGTTGACTTTTGTTTTCTTTTTAACAGAGATCCTACACTGTGAAGAATTACATGCAAAAACTTCTATCAGTAAATACCTGTCCATCTCTCCTGTTGCAATATAATGCATTCCTAATGAAACCTTGTAGGCACTCAGGCTCCTGATGGAAAAAGCAAAGGGTCTATTTTCCCATTGAGGCATGGGGGATTTACATTATAATCCCCCATTAGCATTGATAGAAATTACCCGTGTAAATCTACCGTAGGTACTGGAAATAGGAAAAGAGACCACCAATATTTCAAATCAAAGCAGGGTTCTACTGACTTCATACATATTCATGGGGCTTTTTTATTTTACTTCTAGCCTCCCTCTTCTGATCAGTTACTGCAATGTAAGAAGCACCGTGCAGAGTGTTTTCAGTCATTGTTCCAAGCATCGTCTTTATCATTTTTAGAGGACAAAAAGCAACCTTTTTCCACTTGTTATAAATCAATTTTTAATTTTACAAGGAGAACAGACTTCTTATTTTTATGAAGGAGTCTTTAAAGAGCCCCCTCCCTCCTTTTGGAAGTTGGCCAGCAAGAGAATTTCATGCTGGCTTGCGGGATTGAGAGAAGACACAAACGTATTAGTTGCTTCTCCTGTGTGAGCACAAGGAGGCCCGGGACACTGGTTCTTGCAGATGGATCTGCTGGGGATAAAATGCACCCAGTGTAACGTGGCTGCAAGTTTGCATTAGCAGAGCGTGCAAGTGCAAGGCACCAAGAGCAGCCCCGGCATGACCAAAAAGCCCCTCAGCGGCTGCACCACTGCCCTGTTCGCTACAGAACACAGGTAACGAAAGAAGAATATTTTAGACTCATCTTCTGCGAGTTTGCTGACTGACAAGCTAGTCCCAAAGTGCAGGCATGACTGGTGATCACTGCAGCCCCAACAGGCTTCCACTCAGATCAGTGGGTCACAGACATCTTCCTAACATCCTGACTTGTAAAGCTGCTGACTTGAATTCAAYTCGCACTAAATCACTGCACTTTCCAAATACGTTTCCACTCTCCCTCCTGTTGCAGCAATGTCTTTTCTGGCCCCACTCCTTCTTCTCTTTCCTAGGCTATTCTTGCCAATACCTTTTTCTCCACAACCTGCTACAGCAGAAAATTATTGCAGAAAAAACGGATCTTCCCTTCATTGCAGCCTTTCCCTGATGCACCTTCCCTTGGTAGCCACACTAGGCAGACACCCTCTACCCCATTCAAATCTGAGTCATTCAGCCAGACAGAAGTCATACATAAGTCTGCCAGAGCCCTGCTTCCTATATAGRGTCTTTACAATGGAGAGGAAGTTTCCAGAGAGGGCTATAGGTGCCTGGACATCTCTCCAACGACAACTTGTGAAGTAAACCTACCACCCTGGGCCATCAGGGCTGTCTACAGAGTTTTGCTGCTATCGGTTTAAACGTTGTGAGTTGAGCACCAAGSATCAGGATCTCCCTTAAGGTGCAGTTCAGCATTACCAGACTTTAAGGACTCAGCCTTCCAAAGGGCACCTCAAACACCGAGTTAGACACCGAGGCTCCCAACACAAAGGCTGGGGGCAAACAGGACCACAGTGCTCCMCGAGGGCTGTGAGCTGGGCGAGAAGGGGCTTACGGGCCTACTGACAGCCCAGAGGTGCATCAGAAACTCCCATTCTCCAGAGATGGGACATCCCGGCCCAAGMAGGGATGGTTCAGCAGGAGCCAGAGGCCTTGCTGAAGGCAGTGGCCTGGACTCCTGCTCTCCAAGAGGCACCCACGTWGCCTTGTCAAGCACGGCCAGAGGAGAGGCCCACACCCAGCTTTATGCAAGAGCCTCCAGCTCACATTCCTGTCTGCAGCAGAGCAGCTGCAGGGCAGGAGCCTCCACCCAGGCTCACCCTGCTGCCCTTCCCCCAGACACAGCCGCTCTGGGCACTAATCTGGSCACTAATCCCACCGCTCGGCCCAACTCTGCCAACCCAGGGGTATCTCCCAGCTCCGACCAACCTCTGCCCCTTGTACAAGACAGTAGGTGACATTTTCTTGCACAAGGGGGGCCCGGTTGTCACCAGGTTTTGGCTCCACTGCTGCACCAGGCCCCTAGAGGATAGAGGTGCCGCTCCACCTACCTTTGGRATACGGGAAGCTGGCTCCTAAGCCGGGCAGGCCGGGGCACTTCTGTGCACGCAGAGAACTGTCCCTGCAGGTGCCCAGGAAGGCCCAGGCCAGGGAGGGAGATGTGCAGTGAATTTCAGGCCCTTCCACATTTAGAAGGTCACAAGGTGGGAATTTGAGAACATAATTCTTTTTTTTTTTTTTTAAACTATGATGCTAAAACTTTAATAATGCTAAATCCACCCAAGTGCCTTCCTCTCTCCTCCAGATCTGCTTCTGAATTACTGCCTATCTTTAAAAAGCTCGACTATTTTTGGTATTATTAAAATGAATAAAACTAGCATAGCTCTGGAATGAGTTACTTGAACATCTTTCTCTAGGTCACCCAGTACATCCCTGTGAATCATTGTCTATACTGGGAAACAGTCAATCCTGTTGAAAACGATGACTGTAAGTTTTTCAGTGCAGGGACTGTGCTTCTTCCTGTATAGCACAGAGAATAATAATAGTTACATTGTTTTTGTAACGGTTAAAAGCAGTAAGAGTATGTGAGCTTTCTGATAAAAACACACAGGAGACAGTCCTGCATAGAAATTGTGAATATCTTTGGAGTCCATTGGAAACTGGAAATGTTTTCAGATGCCATCCCACAATTTGTGGTTTTCAAGATGTTAGAAGTGAGGCATGCCTTTAATATAAATAAATAGATAAATAAAAATCTAACTTTAGGGTTGACCATCAGGGGAAGCACTTTTTGAATTGAATTTAGAATGTTCAGCAAAAACTTGAGCAGACTTCAGTAAAATCATCATTCTTTGGAGCCGAAAATAAGAAAAAGCACCTAAAGGGCATGTTACCATCTCCTTTAGAGCAGAGGTCCTCACTAGAACAAGATGGGCTGTGTTCTAGTACATGTTATTCACTGCTAAGATTCCCTCACAGTGATCCCATTGGAAGAAAAACTTAGGGCAACGCTTGGATTTGGGATCTGAAGTTGGCAGTTACTATCCCAACACTGTCACCTCACGAAGATTTGCAGAATCCTGCTTGCCAAGTGGTGTCACAGCAGTACTAGGTTACCCAGTGCAAAGAGAAGTGGTAAAAGTTGACCTTTAATTAGCTGAGAATTTAGTAACAATGGCAAAAGCTGTTTTAATAAGTCTTATAAAGGAAATTAAGCCTGCATAACAGTATTGAGTAACTCTGTCCTCTTGTCAGGAATTCAGTGTAAAACCTAAGGTGGATGGCAGCAGAATTCACTGTGTCACTCTGGCTGCTGAAACTACAGGTTCTGAACCCTGATTTCAGTACAGTGGTAAATAAACCATGGGAACAAAGGCAGAAATGCAAAACAGCACAAGGAAAAAAAGGAAAAAAAAAAAAAAAAGAAAGCAGTATCTGATGCAGAGCATACCATTGGATGTCACAGCTCGTGTCTGATTTTGGAATGTTTTAGACCGAGTTCCATATTGCCCTGAAAAATGGCTGGCCTGGGGTGGCAATTCGTTCCAGGCCCCACTCTGTGAAGGATGAAGGCTTGTCTGGGACTCGGCAGGGGGGTGCAGGCGCTGGGCCCAGGCTAAGTCTAGATCCTGGGGCTCCTCCTTCAGTTTTTCTCCTTCTTTGCCAACACGCTGATAGATTCTTCCAGTGCTGTCGTTCAGTAATCTTCTCATCCCTGTAATTTGTTTTTTAATTTCCCGGCTTTCGTCTCCTAATGAAAACAGAGCCACAGTTATCACTGTAAATTAGCAAAAAAAGGGTAATGGGTAGAGATTAGTGATTTGAGATGCCAATAAGAGTTTCTAGCTRTTGGAACAGCAAATAAATAAATAAAGAGGAGAAAGAAAAGACACGGTTGAGCCAGAGTTAGTAGGTACCAGGCTATGCTTTAGCACAGCAACGGYTGAGATCTCTCATGGTTAAAAGACCTGCTGAACTTGGCTTTCTTCATGCTATTTCTAATGCTTTGATGAGTAAGATTATTTTTCTCCAGAAAGAAACCATAACAGCAAGAGCAGCTTCAAATAAAGGCTGATCTTATTCAGACACTGACATCAGTGGATGTTTTTCAAGCAAAGCCTGAATGATCAGACCCTTTATATATCAGCTTGCTATATGCATAAGGATAAAAATTAATAAATACCACACACACATACACATACAGGGTAACACAGGATCCATTGATTCTAATGGAACAAGATCAATTCCTTAGTCCRCAGAATGTAATAATACTGGATTACAGAAGAATAAATTAAAAAGCAGCTAATACATCTGTAAGTATATAGCCTAACTGCTGGATGTCTTGAGAGCACAGATTATGAAAGCGAAAAGAAAATATATACAAGAAAAATGTGACCGTTTCAAATAAATTCAGCACATTTATATAATAATGATTACATACTTTAATACTCTTGGCACCATTTAAGTATTAATTTTATGTATGAAACTGCTGATTGCACAATGAATATCTATGTTTTGGGCAGGGAGTAGCTATTTTGCTCGTTAAAGCATGCATTACATTTCGCTAGTAATAAGGAGTGCTCATAACCACTTCTGTCATAAGAAGCTTCTATTTTTTACTGTTAATAGAAAAACGAAGCATCTCCAGCAAATGGAATAACGAAGATCAAGACACTGATGAATCAACCTCCTTTTATAATATACTTAATACGTGGCATCCTGTAATGAATTTAGAGTCTTTCCTTGCCCAATAAATCTGCGTTTTGGGGAGAATCCATGTGCAGAGGAAATTTCAGAGAAGAAAGCACGATGATACCTTGTTGAAGCAGGAAAACCACCTGTTGGCTTTTCAAAACTGCGTAACACGAGGTTTGCAAACTGCTTTATCAATGCCAGCACAAAGGGGAGCTGCCCACTCCCGCACACGCTTGGACAGTCGGCTGTAAACACCAAAAACGCAGCATCAGGCGCTCGACACCTGACAGGGGCCGAGTACAGCGCGCCGGGATGTCCGGGGAGGCAGCTTTTTGCTCCGGAAAGCAGGAGGAGGGCAGGCCTGGGCTCCCATCCCACCCGCATGCCGGTGGCCGGGCCAGCTCCGCTTCCCTTTGGGATACCGCCAGCTGGCTCCAGCCCATCCCAACCCATTCTCGGCTYGCGGGAGAGCTTCCAGGCCCAATGTCGGAAATACTTCTCGACCCGGGGCGTCCGCTGCTTCCACTCTAGCAAACCTGGGAGACCTGGAGGGGTTTTACGCTGGCCAGGAGGGGTTTTACGCTGTGTTTATTTTGCTGCTTTGCCCAAAGATTCCAGGGAGGATGTGTGTGTAGAGGGGTGGTAACCAACAAACCACAGCCCCAATTCCTTTCCCTTTAAAATGAGGTTTTTGAGAGGCGCTGCCCTGAGCTGTGGAGTGTTTGCAATTCCCACCCTCGCTGGGAATCCAGAGCGCTCCAAATACCACTGAGCTGCGGTTGCGGAGACAGCCGGACCCGAAACGCGCTGGCACCRAGAGCTTTCCCTTTTGCTCTCCACGGTGGGCCAGATCCTTGTCACGTCCCTGTACCTGAGCTCCAAGACCTCCCATGGTASAAGACCCACAAAATAATCCTCATCCCAGCACTGAGGGGCTCGCAGCTTTATGTTCTCAACTCCTATTTGTGCCAACAGCAAAATTATTATGAATATGAACCAGGTTTCCCCTTCGCCTCCCCCTATCAGGTTTAGTGGCTGCCTGCTACATGGCTGGTCAGGTGACGCTCTGCTTGAAAGATTGAATTTCCCTTCCCCAATTACATAAAATATTAAAGTTAACTGAGTTTACTCAACCTTGATGCTGGTCCCTTGTCGCTCCACAAAGGGATTTTTCCATATACTTGCACGAGGGGACTACTTACAAATGGAAAATACTAATACATAACAACAGCCCCCAAGCTTGCTGCTAGTCCCCTAAAAGGGCATCTTCATACCCAGGTACTGCCACTTTACAACGGGGTGATTCCTTACAAAATTCACCTTGTCTTGCATGAAAGGCCTGCAAACACATGGACCAGAGCCTGGATCCCAATTTCAGTGTGATTTTATCCTCCTCATGGGTATATTTTATAAGATTTTTCATATTTTGAGGGCCTTTAACCTGTACCAGCCTCTCTACAACGTCAGTCCGCCTGACACCCGAGGACTGTGTAACTGATGCTACATCAYGGGCCTGAACCTACAGACGGCCTGAAGCACTGACAGGTCTCACGTTTTGCTCCTTCCTTACTGATTTGGTTAAAAAGTTCTACAGCCCAACAACAGCATTTTGCTGTGGGCTATTCTGCTGTTGCTCATTTTAACAGATAATAAGCAGGTAATTTAAAAGACTAAAAAAAGGGAAGATTGAGCAGGGAGGGAAAGCAAAAGGCTTAAGCTGCCATGTCCTAAGGAAGTGCCAGCCTCCTTTCCAAATGCTGAACAGGATAATAAAGCACTGAAAGAGAAATTTATTACATAGAAATCTGAATCATACACCTGTGAATCATACCTCTGAAAAGTCTCCTGAGAAAACTGTTGTGGACGAAGAGGAGCAGTATTTGGAATATATATCCCAGGTCACCCCTACCAGGATTCAACACGTAGCAGATTCCCTGCTGCTCCCAGGAGATGGGAACGTCTCCAGACAGCAAATACAGGGCAGATCCTGTTGTTTGGATTTCTGAGACCCCCTGGTTTTAACATGGTTTTATTTGAAACTAACAAACTTTCTTGTAAAGCATTGCTCARAAAAGATCAGCTCGCCAAACTGATCCCTACTTAGTAACTTTTGTGTGAGATAATGATAAAAAGTTAAAACAAAAACCAAAACAACAAAAATGCTTTTTAAATTACTACTCTAATTGTTGCTGTGATGGTCCCTCACACAGAATCTAATCTTTCTCAAGGCCTGACTGTAATCCGGTACAACAGCAAAAGGCAAAACAAACCCCTTCATAAATACTACATCAAATGCTCACAGAAAGGAAAGACTTCAGAGTGAATCTGAACTCCTTCCTTACTGCAAGCACATGCACCTTATCATAACTTATTGCCTCGAAAGTTTTCAAAGTGTTAACAATTAAAAATGCAAAAGCTAAAACCTAAAAAGAATTAGCACTCAGGTGCTAAGCACGAAAAGTAAAATAACTCCATCAGTGACTCTGGTTAATGAAACACCATTGATAATTCAGTAATTCAAACCTTAACTCCTAAATGCATCAACATCTTTTCACTATCATGCTTATCAAACTTAATGCAAATATAGAACCCTGCCTACAAACTACGCACTTTTCCAAGCAAATTAATTGTCAAAATATTGCCACAATGCYACAAAGAACTCTACAATTATCTGCATCCACATGCTAAAAATGTAGCTATTGCAATAAGAAACGTGACAATCAAACATGTAATTAATGCATATATTAGGTGGTATCTATATGAATGAAGTAGGGCTGGCTAATAAGAAAACATTTCTCCGTTTGGTTTGTGTAAATAAATAACTTGTGTTATAGTTTTAACATTTCTGAGAAACATTTTGGGTAATATACATGAGCAGCTGATTTCTTTTAATTAATATCTCATTCTGTGTTCTCCTATACCTGGTCAGATGCATCTTCCAAGAAACCCTTTCCTTTCYTGGCTACACAACTAAGCCTCTTCTTCCTCAAGCTGCCTCCTGAAGGAACTTTGTGTTACACAGATTTCCACCCTTGTGTGAAGCTGGTGAGTAAGTTCACGAGTTATCACGAGGGTGGATCCACAGCAACAGACAGCTCGACAAACACACGGGACACATGATGCGAGAGGAGCAGCCTGGCCCGCAGGGAAACACCGTTTGGGAAAGGAGAAAAAGTAAATGCAAACGGTTGAAGAGGCTGGGACTGAGCAYGCAGGTTGTATCATCAGAGGTATTAAATGCTGCTCTACTGAATACTGCCCTTCCTAGGCCAGGAAATTCAGCTGCTGTGTTTGAGGAGTTTGCAAGGAGTCAGGTGTTTCTGCCTCTTTCTTCTACTGCAGTGTGGTCTGAGACGGGAGAYGTGTGTTTCCCTACGAGACCTGAGGTTTCCTAGGTCAAACTGCAAGTTGCTGTGACTGCTCAGTTGCCAATTTGAATGTGGCCTCTGTGTAGCTGAGCGGGTAGAATGAGCACACAGTTCTCAAGTAAGAGAAGAACCTGGCATAGAAGAACCTCTGCTGAACAAGTAACATGGACAACACGACGCTTGGGGAATTAAAACCTTAAATCCTAGTCAAGAGGGAGAGCAGTGATCACAGACCATGTCAGAGGGCTGCACAACAGGAGTTACAGTCCACAGAATTTCACTCCCAAGAAGATCATCAGGGCACTGAGTCTGTTCTACTTGCAGCATCTTGGCAGTGCTCTAAAATGCCATTTAAAGGCCCTTGCCTTCATGACACTGCACTAAGCACCAGAGATCCTGCCTTGAGTTATGCTGCATCTCCCTCAAATTATATCCCCTCACCCACTGCCCCAAAATCAGAGCATGAAAATACATGGACTGACGGATGCCAGTGCCTACTACAAGATCTGCCAGGCTAAAAACCATCACAAGCAACACTGTAAGCAGAGCAATTTGCTGAATTTGCACATGTCTCATGAGACCCCTAAATGTCTCAGGTYTTGGACTTTTACGTCACTGGAAGAAGAATCAGACCACGGGACAGCCTAGTCACCCCTGCAATAAAACAGCTTTCCCCGAGAGCTTGGTGGAACAGCATCAAACACACACACAACACCATCAGATCCAAAAACCTAAGCCACACACTTCTAAGCCACAACTAGCAACAACTAAATCACCTGGGAAACTGCAAGTGAACAACTGTTCAATAAATAGAGTCATGGCATCATATAATCAAAAGCAAAAAAAAGCAATAATTCCCCCCACTTCTTTGACATATTCTAGGCCAAAATCAACAGCAGCCCTTTTCAGCCCCGAAGGGAAACATTTTACAAAGTTGGATCATTGGGAAACATACATATATTTAAAAAGAAAGAAAGAAAAAAAAAAAAGCAATCTTAATTATATAAGCTATTATTGCAACAATCATTCTCGGGATATAATTCTATTAAAAGTAACAAGCAACTTCATAGACTTATGTTAAGTCAACTTTTTCTCTATGAATAAATTGCAAAGGATATTATGCCCGGGACAGAATAAATTCTTGGAATTACTGAGTAACTTATGCATCATTCCCCTGTTCCAAGAACACATTACTTATTTGAGCATGACACAGTGAAGTTATTAATCTGCTGCCTTCCATTTCAACAATGGGGAACGCCGTAAAACGCGCAGACACCTGCATTACAGCACATTTCAGTTCCGCTTTATATCAGTCATAAACATCTCTGTTTTGGACATCTCCTCAAAACAAATGCTCCGAGCATACTGTGCGTAGCATTCGATTTTATGAAACTATAAAAGTTCTTCACTGTTAATTACACAGACAAATGTCTCATCACACATTTGGTTACCAGGATAATATAATTAGTTTTCTACATTAACCTTTCAAAGAGAGAGCCTGAATTTCAAGTTGAAAGCATTGTAAAAACACCCAGCCTGGAGGTATATTTTATTTCCGCCTTTTTGTGATAATAAAATATTAAAACTGGGAAAAACAATGTGGTATATGGAAAAAAAGCATTTTATTGAGACAAGATGCCTTTAACGAGTGTTGTCCATGGGCCATGGTGGTGCAGTCCCCTCATGGGCTTGAGTTCCTAAATCTGTGGTTGACAAATGGTAAAAGCTGAAGAAACTTCTGCTTAAGCCTTGAATATGAACAAGATTTAAGCATTTGACTCCAGGCTGTGATCCYTTCACCCCAAATTTCACTAAGTCTGTGTTCAGTGTACCTGTGTGTAGAAAGATTGAATTCCTATTTACAATCTTATCAAAACTAAAGGCTGGATAACACAGCAAGTCACCTTGTTGGCTATTCCAAAAACAAGCCTCCTAAGCTGATCAAGCTCCRCATAGCAGTTGAGCCAACCTCACAACCAAAAGTCACTTCAGCATCTCATTCCTCTAGCAAGAATGGAGCTTCTTCTACTTTCCAGTTTGCATTCAAACAAAGCTGTATTTTGGCCCTTTATACTGGTGCCAAAAACCACTCTCTGGGTTCAACAGTCTTCCTTCCTGACCATTTGACCCTTAATTTCTTCACATGTTAACCAAGCTGGACACTTCTGACTTGTTTTTCCTAGAGTCTCCTCCCTTCTCTTCGCTGCATCTCCTACAGTCATTTTTCACTGTGTAACCAATCATATGTACATTATATTTCAGATACAGTCCTCAGACCTGAAGACCTGGGCTCAGTATGGAATCACAGAGCAGTTGGGTTTGGAAGGAACCTCCAGAGATCACCTGGTCCAATCCYCCCGCTCAATCAGGGTCAGAAAAAAATGCCCAAGAAAAGTCAGCTTTTGAGTATCTTCAAGATTGGAGACTCCACAACCTCTCTGGCTAACCTGTTCCAGTGTTCAAATTCCCCCACAGTGAGAGGGTCTTTTCTTCTGTTTTCTGAACAGACCCATCTCTCTCATCCTCTATTCACAAGAGAAGCTCCAGTTCCTTCACCATCCTTGGCATGTCCAAATGTCCAAAGGATGTCCAAAGCACCCACTTCTTTGACAGCTCTTGGCTGTCCTTGCTCTATTATGTCCTTCTCTCTGTTGTCTGGGGCAGCCCGGCACTGGACCCAGCACTCCTGATGTGGCTTCACCAGGACTGAGTAGAGGGGAATGACCATCTTTCCTGACCTGCTGGCAACTCTGCCTAATGCAGCCCTGGGTACCCCTGGCCTTTTCTGCTGCAAGGGACAATACTGTGAAGGTTCACACTTGTGTCTTCGAGGACCCCCTGCTCTTTCTTTGCAAAATTGTTTTTCAGCTGGACAGCCCTCAGCATGTTCCRCTATGTGAAGTATCTCCTCCTCATGTGCAGGACTTGCCATTCCCTTGGTTGAACTTCAAGAGGTTCCTCTYGGCCCATTTCTCCAGCCTCTAGAGTAACAGCAGTGCAAACATCTCTTCTATCAGCCACTCCTCTCAATTTTGCATCATCTGCAAACTTGTTGAGGGTGCACAAGGCCCTATCATTCATGACATTAAGGAAGAAGTTAAAGTTATTGGGCTTAACAAGAGTAACTGGATCCCAGCAGCTGATAACAGCACTCTGAGCCTAGCAGTTCTCAATCCACCTCTCTATCCACCTACCTAGTCTGTACTTAAGCTATTTGTTTCTGAAGATATTATGGAAAGCAGCGGCCCAAAAGCCTTACCAAAGTTAAGACAAACAGCATTCACTGCTCCACTAATCCACCAAGTCTGTTTTAGTTGCTCCATCACCTACCCATGAATTGAGGAGAGGCTGACTGGCCTGTAGTTCCCCAGATCTGTCCTCTTGCTCTTCCTGAAGACAGGAGTGACATTTGCTTTCTTGATATCTGGTAAGGAAATTCCTTGATGGGACTCATTTTATTAAGGATTAAATTCAAGCTAACTTCTGCTATAGCTGGACTTTAGACACCGAAATATAACAGAATATTCAATCACAATCCAAAGCTGGGCACACTCAGAAAGATACAGACACACAAAGCMAAAAATCAAACCAAAAAAAAAAAAGAAACTAAATCAAAGCACAATCAACTGGTCTGACCCACTGCACAGAGACCAAAGCACAGACTCCTGCACATTCTTAGCAGCATCCAGGCTTAAGCAGCTAAATGCCTAACTCCTGCCAAAGCCTCCTCATCATTTTCAGTTGGAAGAGAAAGCACTCCAATGCAGGCTACACCAAAAAAGCTCACAGAACACAGAACTCAAACAGAAAGCACATCAGACACCTTTGCTTCTCAAAGAAAAACGGGTATAGGGAAGAGCTATTTGCTCAAAAACCTAATAGTGAGAGGTTGAGCTGCAAACTTACTACAGCGCTCACTCTGCTTAAATATTTCAAACAGTCTAAAACATTCTCCTTTCCTCTTCCATTTGCTGCCCACCTCTAAAAGAGGATAGAGCAAAAAGCTTAAAACTCCTACAAGGAGTCCTTAAGGAGAGGCAGACACCTCCCCTTGAGCAATCCAAAGTTCTCTCCACAAAGTCACTTCCTTTCTTAAAAGCCTGAGCAGGACGACCAAGAACTTGTTTTACACCAAGAATCTTTATAGCAGGACAAAAAGAGACTTATATTTCCCTGGAACTTGCCTCCTGTCCTTTTGTAAAGAGGTTCAGCACTCGGATGAGGCCCTAAATATGAGGGAGTGGGGCTGGAAGTAGGAAAGGAAGGAGCTGTCTACAGCAGAATAGTTACAGAGGACAACGAGCACAGGGACACGAAAGATAAAGGTTCACTGATAACCAGTCCTATCATGCTGAGATATACATATCTATATCTATATATAATATAGATATATCACACTGCAGCTTATATAGTACTTTTCTGTTTTCTTTCCACATTTTTAACTGTTGATTTAATTTAATTTTGCCATAGCAGGATTAGCAGGCAGTCTTCAGAGGTGAAAGGACATTACATTAAGACAGCACATTAATCCTCTATCCCACCCAAGGCAGAAGCAAAAACCAAACAAATAGCAGCTTCCTGGAAATTGAATTTCTGTTATCCAGATGTCAAAGATGTAATACCCCAATTACACAAACTATTGCCAGTGAAGCATGCCAGCAAATATGCAATGTAAATGGGGTGAGCACAGAGCTGCAAAACTGCACAGTCAGCATCTGGCTCTCTGAGCGAGTGATAATTAGCACTGTGTGGAGACACTAATAAACATTTATGTCTGAAATTACAACTTTTAGCAGTGTTAATAAAGGATATATTGGCAATTCGTAGAATAAAAGGGTCTTGAAAAGAATGTCATATTAAACAATGGCAGGCACTTCCTGTGCTTGCACAGGGTTTTTTTCCTCCTCTCTAATTGCAAATGGCCACGCTATGTTGCTCAGGAATTAATCAACACAAGAACGTACCTAAAAAATACGGCTGTGTTTCTTTGGTCTCCCCATTAACATCGTTGCTGTAGTCGGAGATCTTATATATCTCGTGATGGTAATCTGGAATGAAAAACGATTAAAAAAATTAGAACTCAAGTGATCTGGAAAAAATGAACACGAACGCACTGCTACAGTTTTACTACATAATTTATCAATATATCTGCAGTTTATTTCACGTACATCAAATTAACCACAGGAAATGTGCTCTGTATCAGCACCTCCTAAAAACCTTGGCTCACACTGGGGGGACTTTGCTGAAATATTTCACAGATTTTAGGGAATAGCTACGCCTGCCCTAAATTACTGTGTTCATTTTCACAGCAAATTATCCCACCAGATGCCAATTATCTGGCTTCTTGCTTTACAGATGGAAAGCAGATTTGTAATGAAAACTTTACCTTCCTAGAGACCAAAGGAAACTTTCAAACTCCACCTCAATAACGAAACCAGCAACACGTATTAGGGCTGCACCTTTCAGCAATGCTGAGTTATCTTGTTTGCAACAGCCTCTGAGGAAAGGAGGACCAGGCACATCTTAGGATAGGTACCTATGGAAACCGATGTCCATAGTGACCCTAACAATAAATATTAGTGTCTTGTTTTCAGAAATACTTCTCAACACACGAAAAATCTGACTTTCTATCTTAAATAAAAGCAAAATTTGGTGGCTCGTGCCCATTACAAACACAGACATGTGTTCAGTAACAAACACGAAGCTTTGTTTACAGACATGTACAGGGGAAGTGCAATTACAAGAAAAAAAATATGTATCTAAAGGCAATTCTCTTGGATTCTGCCTCTGCTACGGCACATAATTTGTCCTTAGGCAAATCACTCACAACTGAGCAGTATAATCAGTATCTGAAAAGAGCTCCCTACCTCTTCACGTAACTCCTTTTAGTCCTGGACTCCGGGTCCAGACTATCTCAGCTACTCCCCCTGTAAGCAGGGTTTTTATATTGACCTGCCTCACAGAGAACAGGGTAGAGATTAATAAACACATGGAAAAGTACTTGGAGGGATTCACTTAAAAGACGCAACAAAAACCGCACAGCAGTGTAAGCAGTTTCTGCTYGGGCGAGAAACACACCTGCCCCTCGGACACAACGATCGATTCCAGAATTCAGAGGTCTCCTGGAAGTCCCCAAAACACCCGTTTTTGTTGTTGTTATTATTTATTTTTACAGCCTGATTGTCTCAATAGAAGCGTAGGGAGGAAGAACAGCACAAGAACAACAACAGAATCAAGTACAAGGCAGCAATACAAAGGAGAGGAAGAATGACACTTTCCTGAAAAGAAATGTCATGGTGCAACAAAAAGGAAAAAAAAAAGGAAAAGTGACGTGGAGAGGTCAGCAACAAAAGGCTAGGCAGGAAGGTAAAGCTGGGGTTTCTGTGCTGCATGGAGCAAGTGCAAGGCACAGGCTGCATGATGCAGAAAGGGCAAAGGTGATGGCCAAGACACGACATCCAGACAGCAGCAGCCCCTTCTGTAGGGCTAAAAATAAATGTATACGTGTGCAAACTGCTTGGAGTGCTCACTAGCTTTTCTCTATGCTTTTATCCAAGCATTTCCAAGCTMTGGTACGAGTATGTGGAAAGTAAACAGTAAAAGACTGTTAGGAAAAGACTAACAGATCCCTCCCAGTGCCTAGATATACGGCTCACACGTGGCTGCTTCTCTCACACTCCCATCTCTGTATCAGCTGGTCACAATACTCTTGTTTTCTGACCTCTACCTGCTACCTTAATGTCCCATTTCACCCCAGAGGTGGCTGCATGTTAGTGAAGCAGGGATTTCTTCTGGATACGGTAGTTGAAGCGATTCCCMTGTGTTTGTGAAGTTGTTTTGGGGACAGGATAAGCGCTGCGCATAAACACACCCGGGGAACAGACCGTGCGTTGCACAGAAGCAAACCCGACATATGGTTTTCCCTTTGGTTTCCCTCGTCTGCCTCCGATGTCACAGCCCAGGGGCTGTGAAACCCCTATCAGTTTCACAACAGTAAACACTAAACTGTGACACTGCTGAATGACTCCAGCAAGAGGCAAAGGCCAATTACAAGAGACAACTATTTATAYGTAATTATCTTCATAATCAACCATGATAGGAAAAGGACGCAAGAGCAGGCTCTGCTAAAACGAGATTTTTTTAATCTTCACCATTCTCAAAAGTACAAAACACACATTTGCTCTCCAGGACTTACTTTTAGCGGAGCTTCTTATTGACATTTCTATATCCAAGAAGAAACACCAAATCAAATATGAATTGCTGATAATCTACCCACACAATTTTGTTTCCCTACTAGATCAGGCTTAGCTATAGTGCTGCAACCACACAGCTACAAGTGGCAGCTGAGCAACTGGAAAACACTGCTCTGTTTCTGAGAGCACTCACTGTTCTTTTCACAGTTTTATTAGGACGGGAATAAAACCAAGGCTTCGCTTTTGCTTTTGCTTTTCCATGCACCTGCCCCAGCCCAGGGCTGCACAAACACAGCACTGAAGTGAGGAGAATATCTGATAAATAAGATATATACACATATATACGTGAACACACACACTGTGTGTGTGTGTGTGTGTGTATACATATATATAAAAACACAAACCAAACCCAATCTTTAAGCCCTCAATAGGTTTGTTCATATTTCTGTTTCTAAGATCTCCAATAGATTTYGGATGTTCCTGACAAGTCATTATCCCTCTAGTGCTCCAGATCCTCCCATAGTGTCAAAACAGTAATTATTTATTATTCCCATCAAAGGAGTTTACTCCCATCTTTGAAATCCTTCTTGTCTCATGTGAGAGCCCTGGGAAGAAACCACTTTTTGGGGCAGCAAGTATCAAAACTCACTGCTCTCCCCTCTACCACCTTTCCTATAAGCGTKACATTAAGCCCAGGCTGTCACCTGCCCTGAACTTGGCATGCAGGACACACACACTGCATTTCGTGGTGGTATTTCAGCTCAGTACTTCGAAATGCAAAAAAACAGAAATAGATATTAAGGTAAATCAATGAGGGTGGAAGATCTAATGGGCTAGAGAAGTGATAAATGTCTAACTAAAAAAAAAAAAAAAAAAAAAAAAAAAAAAAGGAGGAAAAAAGAGGAGAAAAATAAAAAGGAGAAAAAAAAGAAGAAAAGGAAGAAAAAAGAAAAAAGGAGAAACAAGAAAGAACGAGAGAAAAAAAAAGAAAAAGAGAAAAAAAAAAGGAGGAAGAAAAAAGGAGAAAAGCCTGGGGCTGGGAAGTCCACCTGTTAAAATGACTCCCAGCGGCTGTATCTCGTTTAATAAATAAATAAATAACAGGGCTGGAGAGGGGGCTGCGACACGGATCCAAACGTTTCCCAACGTTTCCCYGCTCCCCGTCTCGCCGACCCCCAAGTTTCTCGCCCGCCCGCGCTGCTCCTGGCCCCCGCGGCGGCAAGGGGCTCTTCACGCGCCCGCCCGCCCGCCCGGCGGGGCTTTTCCCGGCCACCCGCGTCTGAGCGCGGCGCCGGGAGGAAGGCGAGGGAGAAGAGCAGGAAAATAGGAAGACACAACAAATCCGCAGGAGTTGAATACTAACAAGACCCGCCGCTGCCCAAGTGTCGTTATTTCTTTCCTCCCCCCTCAACAGTTTCTTCATTTCGCTTTCTTTCCTCGCCGGGAATTTATAATGGAATACTTTATTTTGCATAAGATCGCCCGGGGCGGGGAAGGGAAATAACAACCCAACACGTCGACCCTGGGGGTTGTAT